TTAATTTTTTTTTTTTTTTTTTTTTTTTTTTTTTTTCCTTCATTCTCCCGGCTGGCTATTGTCGGAGTCAATCTTTGCCTCGTTAAGCGCCCATTTTCGCACTCTCCTCGTCTTCCCCCATATACACGTATACACACATTACACATCGGTCGCACCGGGCCGCGTTATTATTTACAGGGTAAAAGACAGTAGGGGGCGAGGGGGGTTGGTTCGTGTATACACACACGCACACACACACGTATATGTGTACCAGACGAGAGAATCGACGATTTGTTACCCCCCGCTGAGCTGCTTCTTCTTCTTCTTCTTCTTCTCCTTCTTCCCCGTAAGTACATATATAGTCCTTTTTTTCTTTCTTTTTCTTTTCTTTCGTTTGCGTTGACGAGCGCGTTTATCGTTCCTTCCAAAGACTACACGAGGCCATGGCGTTTTTCGCACGCGCGCCCGATGAGCTTTTCTACGGAATTTCATAGCCGTTGGACATTTTTTTTTTTTTTTTGGGGGGGGGGCAAGGGGGCAAGTTTTTGGGACGAGATTTTCCTCTCGGGTGTCGATGTGAATCGAGACACGTATTAATTGGGTCCTTATCGACTCTCGATGGCTTTTCTCTCGAGATGTATTTTACAGCTTGGTGGCGAAGAGCAGCTGGTCCATACAGTTGTTTCGCGCAACTTTCGTCGAGTAGGTACTTTGTAGTTAATAACAAAAGGTATCTCTCGGTGCCGTGTGAACAGCTGCTGCGGCCTCAAGATCTCGGGGAGACATGATACACTTACACGCCATCGGGTAATGAGCGATAGAGTCGGAAAATCTATATAATTAGGGGCGAGCGTCTGTAATTTACAACGGACGCCACGGGGTTGCCGCGGCCTTCGTGTATAGGGGTGCATATAACGTGTACGAGTAACAAAGGAAACCGAAGTGAGTGTGTATGATGTGGCGCAGGGAGGAGAGCGTTTTCGCGGAAGAGGAGGGCCATAATGAGACACGTCTCGTTTTCGGGGGGCCCCCGAGGTTGACCTTTTCCTTCCAATGGAAGTGTCACGCGGCGCGTCGTCGTCGGCGCTTTTCAACAAAGGGGGAAGCGCTCCTTTACCTTCGCTTCTTTCCTCGGGGGCCCGACTTTTCCTCCACAATGACCGCCACTCGAGACGCGTCCTTTTTCCGTACACCTCCCCCCCCCTGTCGTCGGACTCTTTTTTTACGCCTTTCGGCTCCGTCGAGCCAGAATTTTCCAAAATTGGCCATATAATACATATATTGACCACGCGGTGGGATTAGCTCGCTTCGATTCCCACACGCGCTCTCGGTCGCTTTTGCGAAAATACTTTTTGCTTTTTTCCACAAAGTGCTCATCCTCTCGTGTGCTGGAAGTGTACTGTTGAAGCATTTTTTTTTTTTTTTTCAGTGTTTAAAAATACTAAAATCGATGGTAATACGGTAACAAGAGGAATGCCGTGGAGCATAATAAATCCATGATGGGAATACCTCGCTCTTTACTAAATATGTACTGTGTAGGTAATGCATTTTATAAAAAAAAAAAAAAGCACAAGAACAACACGCATGGATTTACAATTGAGAGCATCAGAGAGTTGAAAAAAAAAAAAACGTAATTTCAACAGGATGATGATTTCTAAAGACCATGTATCGAGGGTCCAAAGTTATACCGTCCAGACATTCCTCGTTCGGCGAGTGATCAATGTACACCCAACGCGCCCAAGGGCCAGGACAAAAGTTGGTACAGCGCCACGGACAAGCACATACTCACGGGTGAAATCAATCAACGGGGCTTTGAAATCAATCGATCAATTTCTCATTAAAATTGTTTTTCCCGCGCCTCGACCCGTACACCCTTTCTCCTTCCCCATCACCGCTTATACACGTGTATACCTTTCATATATACATACGTCTTCCATTCATATACGCGAACCCCGTGTCCGAGCACACGAAGAGAGAGAGAGACGGGCCGCGGTGATGAACGCGCTAATATACGCGCGGTCCATAAACAATCATCATAAATATATTTCGGTCGACACATTAGCCCTCTCCCTCCCTCTTTTTTTTTTCTTCCTCTTGAACTATAACTCTTTCCCTCCTCGTTCTCCATTCTTCTGTCCATTTTCTTTTCTTTTCATTTGCCACACGCACCGGGCCCTTGGGATTTTTTTTTTTTACTTTTTGTTTTTCAAGCGTGACGGATGGCTGATAAACTCCGGAGTATAGGTGATACGCTCGCCGGAGTTTCTCGCTCTCTCGTCGTTGTATGCGGTCCTCGTTCCGTACGCGCGAGTTTACCGGTGACCCGTACGCGCGGGATTGGTGGTAATTACAACCGACGCGTTCGCTAATGAAAACAAGTCCCATACGTCCCTTTTTTCCTTCGCTCCGACTCTTACAAAGGCGGTAATTCAACGCGCGTGTGTAGGGGGGGGGGGGTATATTGTGGAGTATGTGAAGGGAACCAATCGATTACGGAGTCGTCCGTACTGTGCAAAATGTGACGCTCGAGGGATGACAATCGACTTTATCTTTGACGCTTCGCGCGTTTACCTCCTTAATTTCCTTCTTTTGATCCTCGCGTTTACATATGGAAGGACATTATCCTCGTTTCGTTGATAAAATTTCGTACAATTAGAAGAAAATAAAGAATAAAATTTTTTTTTTTCCAATAAATTTATGGTTCTTTGTTTATAAAAAAAGGTTTAACGCAACGAGGGTAAAGAATTTTCGCAACTCCTCGTGATATTTAGATCGAATCGATGAGATTCTTGAAAAGACGTCGTAAAAATCATTTTACTATTGTGTAAAAGGTAGTCGTTGAGTCATTTTTTTTTTTTTTTTTTTTTTCATCTCACGCTTTTACGACCCGTAGCGTATTATCGACTGGTGTTAATATGGCGACATTTATCTGTATGTATGCTCGCAAGGCCTCATTTACGAATTCGCATGTAAAATTAATTCAACGACACTCGAGGCGTTTTGTTAATTATGCATTGTTTGATGTTTCCTGATCAATAAATCACACGGATTTATCGGCCGAAATCTCAAAACGTTATGCAACGAGTGAATAAACTGTTTGGTATACTCGAGCCGAGAGAAAAAAAAAATGAATCACTTCGATCCTCGGTGGCCCCTCCTTTTTTTTCTTTATTTTTTAAATTTACTTATTGATTGCTTGTCACGAGCTGCAAAAATATCCAAACTCACACTGGCGTATACTGATTTTCCAGTGATAAAACATCCTCTGGTGGAATCTTTCTCAAAAACTTCTCCTTTTTTTTCCCCCCCAAAAAAAAATTATTTGCACCTATTTTAACACCCAATATATACGTAAAACGCGCTCGCGTCACAGAGATGTACAATATAATGAAGTGACGCACGGGCAAACCAATAATTAACTCGTGCCGCATTCCTGAACACCGAAAAATAACGAGACAGAAAACAAAAGACCCAGTGACTTTCCCCAGTGACGAGCAAAAAAAAAAAGCCACCGCGTGGATGCTCTTTCAGACGCATTGGGTCACCCTTTGCCGTGCGGCTCCGCTCATCTACGCACACCCACTGCGGCACAGTAGATATACAACTTGTATTAGTCATTAGTGGGCGAGAGAGTCCGACTATTTGCTAATGTAAATATATATATATACATGCGCATACTTTTTGTGCTCATGGCGCGGGGTGTCGTTCATTTCACCGAAACGCCAACTCATTTTTATTATTGTTTGCACAACGAGAAAGGTGTGCAGGCCCCGACTCGTGCATCATTAGCGATGATCGATGCAATTTCAAGCATCTCGTTTGTGATGGATCAAGAGTTTAAAGCGGAGAGGAAACTTTCACGTGTCTCTCATGTACACCTACACTTGGAACGAAGTCGTCATGATATTCGTGATTTACCCAGAAGCTATGGTCGTAATTTCTCGCGCGCATCGTTGAAACTTCGAGCTCGTTGCATTAAAAAACATGTCCCTCGAGTGGCTCAATCCCAAGGAGAGCATCAGCAACACTTGGAGGCATACAAAGCAAAAAAGGGCCCAAGGATTCATGGATGTAAATTAAAAGCGATCGTCAGGGCCCGTAAAAGGGGGTTGGTAAATAGGGGTCCCGTTTGTTGGGCGCTCGAAGGAGAAAGTTGGCGTAAGGTCGAGATGAGTAAAAAAAAAAAAGGAAACGAATCCGCCGTGGGGGTGCATAACTCAAAGAAACGCGGGCGTGTGTGCTTCTTCGTTAAAGGTTCACCAGGAGGAGATGAGTAAGAAAAAAAAAAAAAAAAAACAAGTGCTCGAGTGCCCACGTATACATGTACGGATGAAGGGGGTAAAGGGGCTCTCCGGTCAAATTTGTAGCCACTAAACCATCTGGTTTTACGAGTCGAAATTTACAGCGTTTTCGCGCCTAATGTCATATATATACGCACAGAGTGCAGCTGTGTACTATTCATTGCAATCACGATGACTTTGAGTCTCTGATACGTGAGACGAAATTACGCGTACGGTAAAGAATTTCTTTGAATTCCATCGCATTGCAATGTGAGAATCGTCCGCGTAAAACTTGGGAGATGATCGAGGGAGGTGATCGAATTTCTCCCTTTCCTCCGCCATTGTCTACATGACGAGAGTGCGAGTGAATTTTTTCCAATTCATAGTTTGACAATCATGAAAATCCTCACGCGTGAAGGATCGTGGTAAAAAAAAAAAAAAAAAAAAAAAAAAAAAAAAAAAAAAAAAAAAANATGGAAAAAAAAAAGAAAAAAAAAAAAAGAAAAAAAGAAACGACCTGCACGTGCTTCGGGAATTCGTACAGGAGAGATCGGTCGGCCGGTCAGGATCGATTGTATCTTAATTACCTTGAACGCTCGCTTAATCGCTCCGTGGGAGTGAACAGACGAGCTGGCCCATACCCATACAAACATATACGTGTGTGTGTGACGCGGGGCCCGCTAACCGACAAGTTCGTAGAAAAGCCGTGGATGGCTGCTATATGTATACACGGTATTCGAGGCTTATATATATATACATAAAGGTGAGGCCGACCGTCCATCCATCGATCGATCGAGGAATTTGTTATTAAACGCAGCTTCGCCCCCCCCTTCCGATTCCACACCCATCTGTCATTGCGTAGCCTGTATATTTTCTCTTTGTTTTTGCCCACCCCTCCAAAAATATGCCACTTTTGATCGTTTGGATTGGAAATTGCAGTCCTTGCCAAAAAAGATCACGGAATCAGCCTCTTCCGCCTTCCTTCGACCTTATTTCTCTTCCGATTAACTCTGTAGGCTTTATTTTTTTCTTCCCCCATCTTGTTTGCAACCCCTTGGATGATGAAGCAAAAAAAAAAAAAAAATTGCGCGTAGTATTATATCCTCTTTTTGCACGTCACGGTCCGAAGTTGGCCTGGCCCGTTTGTGTATAAGTATACGGTCTTTAGCCGCGCAGATGAGAAGCAGATGAGCCGCTAATTGTGGCTAAGGAGCCGGATTTGCTCGCCAGGAGTTCCTCGGGCCGTGCGTAAGCCAATTTTCCCGAGTCCCTCGAGCAAAACATTTCCGCGAACGTAAAGTATACACCGGCTCATGGTGGCATCTGTTTTTTTTTTTTTTTTTTTTTTTTTCCTTCCTCAGATGTCAAAAGGTAATCGTTGGAAAATACGAAAAGTCGACGGTGAGAGATGGCCAATCTCGGGGAGGCTGCTTTCTTGGGCTCTATGCGCTGGTTCCTCGGGGAATCACCTTTTTTTCCTTGGGCTTAGTCCCTCTATACTATACGGGGAAAAAATACCAACGTGGCCTGCGTTTTGCGTACGCCACAGTTTCCGAATGATCGAGTAGCGCAGCAGTTTATTTTCAAAATGTAATCCATTGGTCCTTTTATACTCGCTAAGGATGTACCACCACACATTGACTACCCGTTATCGAGGTATAAACAATGTTTTCTTCCATTTAAAAAGCATCGATGAGTTATGGTAAATTTCGTGTTTGTATTATTTCTTTCGAGAGTCAAAATGAATTACAGAGCAACCGGTAAGGGGACCAACGATAACCCGTAAATTATACAAACGTAAAGTCTTTGAAACTGTAATCCTTCGTGTAATTGTTTCTTTTTTTTCCATGGCAGTGCACGTCACAGAAACGATTGAGGGGAAAAAAAAAAAAAAAAAAAAAACACCTCAACGATGGAATTTGCACAATAACGTATCCGTCAATGCTCGTAAAATCTCATCGATTCTATAAAAAGCGAAGCGTCGCCATTTTCCGGCCTTTGGCGATCCCCCGTACACCCATCCGTCATACCAGTACAATCGTTAATTCCCTAAATAGCATATACATATAGACGCAGTGCGCCCTTTCTCTCCCTTCTTCTCCCCCCAAAGTACACGCCCACCATCGCCCCGCGCACCCACACGCATACACTAACCGACTGTCTGGCTGCCATGCAGGCCACCACAAGTACCTTATACGTTACATATATAGCACAATGGGAGCCATCGTGCTGGCGTGCAAAGCTATACACGTAAACGTATTAGTACGGCACCAAAAAAAAAAAAAAAAAAAAAAAAGTAGGCGTGCACTGCCAGACGTCTATATGTATACTCACCCTCTCTCGGGGCAATTAGACAGATGACAGACCGCAAGGAGATTTACTTTCCCGTGGCGCCTAATATCTCGTCTCTCGACTGACGGATTATACACCCGTCCGCCCCTGGGAAACTCTTCGATTCTTCTTGAACGACACAACACAATGAAGCATGTATATAAATATACATAGGTGGGTCCGATATTGTTGATGCCAAGGCGTGACTGAAAACAAAAACAAAATATACATCGGCTTCTCTCGATTGTGCGCCGACATTGACAACAATCGGGCGTTCTTTGCTTATGGTAAACCGGTTCTAGGTGTACATCGTATTCTATGCGCCTCGTGGTGGTAAAACAGCAGCTGCGGTAGCAATGGTACAAGTATATGGCACGGATCAACTGCGAGATCGTGACTTCTTTCGGCCGTTTCTTTCCACTGTAGCCAGAGACGGAGAGAGCGAGATCCCAACTTTCTTCTCCCTCGAGGGGGCCAGTTCTCTTTTGTAATACTAATATCCTTATCGCCTCCTCCTCTCAACCCTCTCCCAACAACGCCTTTTTTACCAATGTATACATCTCTTATTTTATGCTCACTTTGAGACTTTTGTTGTTTGATTTCACCATCAATGTCTATATTACCGGTTTAGCTTGGTTGTGCGGGAACGAGTATATACTTTTGCTCCTCATTTGTCTCATTAATATTCATCCATGGGTCATTATATACCTAATAACATGAAATTTAGCATCATTTGGCACAAAAATAATAATTTCACTATAGGTTTGAGTTTTTGTATTTTACTCTCTCTCCAGTACATAAGAGAACATGATCCATCTTTAAAGCTTATAAGTACTAATTACACAGAGGTTTTTTTTTTAAACGCCATTCTAATGGAAACTAATGGTTTTTAACTTGCTATGGAGATACTTGTATCATTTTGGTAGAATCATCCATGTACGCATATTTATGTGCGTTTACTTCATCGAGGAGCTCTTACTCACGTGACACAATCACGCTCATTTTTCTGTGTAACGCGCACTAGTCCACACGATCTCGTGTTTGTAACCGATCGAACTTGAAATTAATTCGTCGCACAACCGATTGTAATCGACGAGTCGTAACGAGAAGTGGTGACGAGGTTAATTTTTCCAATCAGCCTCCACCCGTTGATGTAGATTTCGGAAGCGCGTAGCCTTTGAGTCGATTTGCAATGCATACACTGCCAACACGCGCGTTTCTTACCCCCAATAACCCGCAGTAACACTTGCACGTGTTTTCAATAGATTTGCGGGGCCTTTGGAACAATACGAGGCGCGCACCTGTAGTTTCCAAGAAAAAGTATAAACAGATCACCGACGGCTCGTCTATTGTCCGACTCCCTCGTATCTGCAGCGGGTAACGTACGGCCATCTTCCGAGTAAAGCAAATGGGAGAAAAGGTGATGTACTCGTTGAAACTAAGAAACCTCCTGTAGAAAATACTGCCAGACTGGCCCGGCTGATGGAAAAAAAAAAAAAAGCTCGCAAGCTCCGAACGGACTTTTCTTCCTGTTCTCTTTGGCGCGTCGTGTACGCGTACCACGGAAATATTGCTCGGGTGATGGATCGTTAAAGATTCCGAGTACAATCTCGCGAGCAAACGGTAGCCGGTGTAGCCGGTCGTGCCCATTGTCTCGTGGCTATACGCGATTGGCTCTTTCAAGGCTTGGCTGTCCTTTTTAAAAGATTTGCCATTATGGCTTTTGACTGCGGTGCCATTCGCACGCGAGAACATTGCGCTACTGGTTACTGATTTATACACCTATCTATTTATATAGATACATTCGTCATATTTTATCGATTCGTTATACGGAGTATGTAAGCTGGACGCAAACGTAAAAAGAAGTCGATGAAACAAGTTTTCCGGATAAAATGAGTAGGAATGACATGTAGATATGAGAAAAACGAAGGTGAAAAATAGTGTTCAAAAGCACTACTTGGAAATTTTCTATACGTAGGTGAGTGTCTCCAAAAATACTTGGCTGTGTTTCAAATATAATTTAGCAGAGGTGCGATAACACACGCCGCAAGACCACATGACTTGGTATCGATAGGCTCGTACACCTACCGAACGACTCCTCATTAATCCTCGTTTATCGCTACAAGAGAAAGTTTTCTTCTTGTTTTAATTACTAATTTCTACAGATAAGTATTATGGTTTAAGAACTCAGATAAGTATATATATATATAATATATAGTCTGAATTTTGCAAGGATCACAGCTATATTCTTCCGTTCATAGGCTCAATAAAACAAAGATCCGTCCCGAATGATATTAACTTGCAAATTGGTCCATTCCACGTGTGCGCCCATAGTAACAGCATCAGCCCTGTTGGTACCCCCACATAACGAGTCAATTAACGTGCGTGTGCATGATCGTCGGGACCCGGGCAAATCGACAGCTCAAGTTATAACGAGCTGCAAAAAAAAAAAAAAAAAGA